TGCACATAGTAATTCCGAAAAAAGTCGATAGGAAGTGAAAAATAAATCAGACGTCAAGTTATTATTGTTGACACGAGACTAATAAAATATCCGGTAGAGCCCATTGTTGCTTTCCGAGCTGTTTACGAACTCGTCTTCTGAAATGGAATGATATCAAAAGGACAGTCGGAATGATACAGCTTTGAATTAGGTCGTAATGTCATCAAATGAAAAAGTGCACAATGCTAGAGCCGTTCATCTATCTTATGTGGAGTCGGTACAAAAAAATTGAATTAAACATTGTTGTATGCCGCAAACATGTTTTATTTATTGACACACAGGGCTGGTGTATGCGAGAATGGACTCAAAGTTGGCGATATATCAATTTTGTTTGGGTTGATACGCGACGAATTGGTGGTGCGGCAAATTTGACCTTCAATTGAGTTTTCTGTAAATGTTGGACGTCGATTAATGCATCTGCATGTAGAAGTTTAAGTTTAAATTAATAATTATGGTAGTATTACTAAGTTAACGTCCTTATCAAGTTAAATAAGCAAGGTTAGTTAAAAAAAAACTTAATGCCTCAGTGCGACGACCGTTGATTTTAACAAAAAAGTAGTAATTGCAGGTTTGAACAAAAAATAAGGTAAACAACACCTTAAAATGTTTACTGTTTGGATTTCCTCAAATATTGAAATTTATTCAAATTGTGCTTAAAGGTTAAGAGTAGAAAGTCATTGTGTGACATCTTGCCGCCACTTTGATCCAAATTCCAGTGTGTTTTAGACCATGTTGAATTCCTTCCATTGTAATAATTGTTACTCGTACTTGAAACGATTTTTAAGTGTTTATGTTTTGTGGTTTTGGTTCAATAAACTTTGAAGACCAAATCGTTTCAAAAAAAAATTGATCGAAGGTTATTTTGACAGAACTTTCGTCGCCCTGAGGTACAGCTCAATAAATTCCGTTTTTTTGAAAAATCATAAAAATTGTTTGCCATTTTGACTTGAGTTTTTCAGTTCATCAATTTATCTTTCTTTGTGCATTCACTTTTTCGATTTGCAATTTTCCGAGCTTGCAAGTTTAATTTTCCAATTTTTCAATTTTTGAATTATGTATTCTATTTTTAGATGTTATAATTTTTCAATCTGAGTTTGTTCAATTTTAATTTTTTCAATATTTTATTTCAGTTTTTCGATCTGCGATTGTTCATTTTTACACTTTTCTTAATTTCCCAATTTTTAGTTTCGATGTTGTTTTCTTGATTAAAATTTATCAAGTTTTCAATTTTTCGATTTTTCAATTTTTCATTTCTTCAATTTTTCGATTTTCAACTATTCGTTTCGTTTTTTATTTACTTTATTTTTTTCACTTTTTGGGTTTTCAATGTTCTGATTTTCTAATCTTTTCTTCAGTCAGAAATTTTGAATTTTTGGATTTTTCAATTTTTCGGTTTTCTATTATTCGATTTTTCAACTTTCAGATTTTTTAAATTTTCGTTTTTTCAATTTAAATTTTTTTTTTTTCTTGATTTTTTCAAATTTTCCTTTCATCAGTTTTTCAATAGGTGATTTTTCAACTTTTCCTTTTTCTTGTTTCTTCAATTTTTGGATTTTACAATTTTTCGATTTAAGATTTCTCGAGTTTTCAACTTTTAATTTTTCAATTTTTAGCTTTTTCAGTATTTCATATCTTCATTTTTTCGATTCTTAAAATTTTCGTTTCAGTTTTTTATTTTCCTTATTTTCTCAATTTTTCAGTTTTTTAATGTTCTGATTTTCCAATTTTTCGTTTTTTCACTCAGAAATTTATCAATTTTTTGATTTTTCTATTTTTTCATTTTTTTCGACTTTCAGATTTTTTAATTTTTCGTTTTTTCGGTTTTAGTTTCTTCTAATTCTTGATTTTTTCAGTTTTTCGTTTCTTTAGTTTTTGATTTGTGATTTTCCAATTTTTTAGTTTTCTTATTTTTTCAATTTTTAGATTTTACAATTTTTCGCTTTAAAATTTCTCGAGTTTCCAACTTTCAATTATCTAGTTTTTCATTTCTTCAGTTTTTTATTTCTTCAATTTTTCGATTCTTAAATTGTCCGTCTCAACCTTTTATTTTACTTATTTTTTCAATTTTTCGGTTCTTCAACGTTCTGATTTGCCAATTTCTCTTTTTTTCAAACAGATATTTATCATTTTTGGATTTTTCAATTTTTCGGTTTTTCGACTGTTAGGTTTCTTAATTTTTCGTTTTTTCAGTTTCATATTTTTCTAATTCTTGAGTTTTTCAATTCTTCGTTTCATTGGTTTTTCAATTTTTGTGATTTTTAAATTTTTTATTCTTCTTATTACTTCAATTCTTAGATTTTCCAATTTTTCGAATTTTCAACTTTCAATTCTTCAATTTTTAGCTTTTTCAGTTTTTCATTTCTTCAATTTTTCGTTTCCGTTTTTTATTGTTATTATCTTTTCAACTTTTCGATTTTTTTAGTTTAGGTTTTTAGTTTTTCGTTTTTTCAATTTTACATTTTTCTAATTCTCAATTGTTTCATTTTTTCGTTTTTTTAATTTTACAATTTTTCGATTTAAAATTTGTCGAATTTTCAACGTTTAACTAAAACTAAAAAAAATGTAAAAATTGAAAAGATTTTTCAGTTTTTCATTTCTTCAATTTTTCGATTTTCAATTACTCGTTTCTGTTTTTAATTTTTTTTTTTTTTCAGTTTTATCGCTTTTTCAATGTTCTTTTTTTTGTGAATTGGAATTTTTTTTTCGATTTTTTAAATTTTTAATTTTTTATTTTTCATGGTTTCTATTTTTAGATTTTTCAATTTTTGACTAGTAATTTTTCTAGTTCATTTTAAATATTTTTCGTTTCTTCAGTCTTCGATTTGCAATTTTTCGATTTTCCACTTTTTCCATTTTGCAATTTTTTTTTCAGTTTCTTGGTTTTTCAATTTTTTCAATAATTTATTAGGTTTTCGATTTTTAATTTTTCAATTTTTCAACTCTTGAAATCAAAAAAATTAAAAAAATTGAAAAATCAAAAATAAAAAAACAAGAAAGTTTCAAATAAAAACTGAAAAATATAAAAATTGGAAATCAAGAATTTGAACAATTGAAGAGACCAAAAATTGAAGAATCGAAAGATTAAAAACTGAGAAATTTAAAAATCGATAAACTAACGGAAAATCGAAAGAACAAAATACTGTAAAGTCGAAAGATTGAAAATTAAAGAAATCGGAAAATCCGGTAATTACGAAGAAATGCAAAAATTGAAAAATTTAAAAATTAGAAAATCGAGGAATGAAAAAAATAGGTTGAAATTTTGAAGAATTCAATAAACATTTTGAAATCGTAAGAAACATTGAAAAAACAAAAGAAATAAAAAAATTGTAATATGAAATGGACAAAATCACAATTAAAAATATCGGGAAAATGAGAAATAAAATTCATGAACTTGAAAAATTGAGGAAACGAAAAATAAAAAATCAACAATTAAAAATTGAGAAACTGGAAATTAAAAATTGCAAATCGCAAAATTGAAGAAAGGAAAAATTGAAAAATCGAAAGATAAAAAATTGAGGAACTTAAAAATTGAAAAACTGATTCAAAAACGAAGTAAGGAAATATTGTAAAATGTAATTGAGAAATTCAAAAATTGCAAAATGGAAAAATCCAACATTGAAAATTTGAAGAATTTTATCAAGAAAAATTATAAAATCGAAAGAAACATTGAAAAAACAAAGGACATAAAAAAGTGTGATATGGAATCGGGAAAATCAAAATTAAAAAAATCGGGAAAATAAGAAATAAAATTCATGAACTTGAAAACTGAGGAAACGAAACCTGAAAAATCAAAAATTAAAAATCGAAAAATTCAAGATGAAAAATTGTAATATCAAAAAATTGCAAAATTTTTCAATTTTTATTGTAAAATTAAAGGAACGAAAAATTGAAAAATCGAAAGATTAAAAATTGAAAAACTGATGTAAAATCGAAATATTGAAAAATAACGAAATCGGGAAATCGACCAGGTAATTGGGAAATCCAAAAATTGCAAATTTAAAAAATTGGAAAATCGAGGAAGGCTGAAAATTTGAAGAAATCAATAAAGAAAAATTATGGAAAGACACCTTCAAAAAATAACGGTGATAAAGAAACAAAAATTGTGATATGAAATAGAGAAAATGAAAATTAAAAAATCCGTAAAATGAGAAATAAAATCAAAATCTGATAACTTGAGGAAACGAAAAACTGAAAAATCGGAAAATTAAAAATCGAGTAATTGAAAATGAAAATTTGTGATGTCAAAATATTGCAAAATTGAAAAATTGCAAATTGAAATATGGACGAAATGAAAAATTTAAAAATTTGGAAGTCGAGCAAATGATAAAATGAAAAAATTAAAGTCGCAGAAACAAAAATTATGAATCCAAAATATGGAAAAATTGAAAAGTTAAAAAAATGTAAAAACGAAAAATTATGATACCAAAAAAATTCAGCGAAGATAAATAATCCAAATTTTCCAAAAAATTATAAGATTTGATTTAGCGTTTTTCATAAGTTAAAATAAAGATATCTAAGTAATGAAAAAGTAAATGTAAAGAAACTTTCTAGTGACTTTATCCATTACAAAATTTTGACATGACGTCATAAATTTTTTTAGAAGTAGATAAACGAATAAATTTTGATTAACGATTTACCATTCTCACAATAAACTTAAAACGTTTGGAAGATTTCAGAGCATTCGGTTTGCACTTTCAAAGTTAAATTTCAAAATGTTGTCACACAATTTTGATTTTTTTTCCCAGAAATCTGGATGTGTAGGAATATCTTATTTTATAAAAATAAAACAAAAATACTCGTGTAAATTTTGAAGATGACGTCATCAAATTCTTAGTGGGGATAATATCCAATTTCTGCGTTTAACCATCTGCATGATATTTCTAATAAATATACAAAATTTGACAACAATCGACCCATTAGTTTCGAAGAGAAACTTACGTTCGAGAATTAAAAAGCAGAAGTAAATTCATTCACGTATAATAAATAAAAAAATAAATAACTCTACATTACAACATTTACACAAAATCCGTTCAGTGGTAGTAGTGAGCACCAGGGGCGGCATACCCGATGGGAGCGGCGATTTTAGCTACTGGAGCACCGTATCCGATGGGAGCAGCATATCTGGCAACGGGTGCGGCGTATCCAACTTTGGCAACTGGGGCGGCGTAGGCTACGGGGGCGGCGACTTTAGCGACAGCGGGCACAACAGCTTTAGCCACAAGTGGCTCCCTGTGGACTACGGCGTTGAATCCATTGACGGGATCCGCGGTGTACTCAACAGTACGCTTAGTACCATCGGGATCCACCAGAGAGTAGCTTCCTTGAACAACATCTCCGTCGCGTACCTCGTGCTGGCTCTTGGAGTCTCCGGTCAGACCATCCTGGATGTCGTAAGCGAAGTTGTACTGGGGATGGGGGTCGTAGTCGTCGGCTACCACGGTCTTGGCGACTGCCACGGGGGCGGCGACTTTGGCGTAGGCGGGGGCGGCGTAGCCGCCGTAACCGGCGTACGGGGCACCGATGATACCAGCCTGGGCGGCGGCGACGAGGGCAGAGAAGGCGAGGAGCTGTAACATTGCACACATCTTTAATTTATGTCTGTAGCGTGGAATTGCGTCTTGTACCTTGAAAGCCATATTTGTTTCACTTGTCAAAGTTGGTCGTGTTATGGCCTGGTACGGCACTCATGGGCTTTTATATGCAAGTTGGTCGGTACTTGGTAATGGTGCAACTCTTCAGACACGCCCTTGCAGAGGCCACTTGTGTTTCAGACAATAACGCTGTGGTCCTTTCATTTGCCCGCCAGGGTAACTACCCAATTATTCAACGTTAGAATGATCTCATATTGTAATAATTTAGTGTATGTAACCGGCACGGTGTTATGAATTTAACGGAAGACAGGTTAAGCACGAGTTCGTCTTGAATTAGCGAGATTGGAAGGTTAAATAACAATTTTAAGTCTTGATGTGAAGAGAAATTTTGTGCTAGAGATAAATCGATCGTTTTTAAGTTGATTAAGAAGAACTTGGCTTTTATGTAAAGTTAGAGTGTAAGAAAAGTACGTTGGGATTAGTTTAATCATTCAAAAACAGGTAAATTAATTTTCTTAATTGTGCCCTTAAGACGTTATTCATTTAATTCTTGCTCCTATTTACACACAATATTTTACGTAAGTAATTGCTAGTTTTTAGAAATAACACACTCACTTTTCTAATCTTTTTTGAAATATCCGTGCAAAAAGAATGAGATACAACAATCAAATTTCACTTATTCAGTTAATTTCTAATATTTAGTTGTAAAATACTGAGTGATGAAAAAATGGCGGATAAGCTCAATGGTACGACAAAGGTTCTGAAGGACTCGAAACAAATATTTTTATAAATCCCTGTCCTGAGAGGAAAATTGTAGCCACAGATAACCTTAAAAAATATTTCTAAACTATGCATTAAAAAAGTGAGTCCTTGACTCATAAAATCAGAACAAGTTGGATGATTAGTTCTGATATCGTAAGTAGTACCTGAGTTGAAAACTTTACTTAATAAATTAATTATAAAATTTCGTGTAAGGATTCCAGAAAACAATACTCCAATATTTAAGTACATCGGAGTATTTTAGACAACGGGAGACACTGGTGGTTTTTTTTAGTGATATACAGGGTGAGCATGGTCCTTAGAAAACAATCAAACATTGAAGTTTGGCAGGGAACAATTTGTTAAAATTCATGGTCTCAAGTCAACATTTTTGCTGTTAGTAGCGGTGTTACTCAAGGGTCAAACCTGGGCCCCCTGTTGTTTACTATTTTTTTCAATGATGTTCTAAATGTTATTAGTTAGGGTATTTATAGTTTTATTAGTCTTATCATAACAAATACTAGCCCCGCCCACCCACCCTCAGTTTTCTTAAAGGTTATGTCATTGGCCACAATCAGTCTTATCTTAGCAGGTACTAAGCCTCGCCCACCCGCGCTGTTCTCATTCTAACGATTTTATTTCTGTTCAGTATAAGGTACAGTTTTCATTCAAACCAAATAAAAAAACTAAAATTTGTTTCTAATTTGGTACTTACAAAAATACAATTTCGTCTTCGGCTGATCGTTTTCTGACAGACCGTGCAACATAATAAGTTACATAAGTTGGTCTGGATTTTAGATTTAAAAATTTTGGATTTTAAGTTTAATTTAAGTAAATTTAACTTATATATATTATAAACTCCACCATAGACTAACGTCTGTTGCAATAAAATTTATTACTATTATTATTTATATCGAAATTTGACGTACCTGTTAAAAAAATTGAAAAATCTCAAAATCTATAAAATTCAAAAAATTATTGAAAACATAAAATTTGCTTATTTGCGATTTTTCTTTTGTATAACCTCCTTGAAGTAAAAACCACTGGCGTAAATGATACCCCTTGAAACTGCAGACAATATAAAATTTATTTAAAGCAGATAAACTACAACCGGAAAAAATGTGCTCTCACATGTGTAACCTCGAGTGTTTCGTTATACATAGTTCGAAAGAATTCGACTGTTTGCACGTTCAGATTACTATCATCGGCGATCGCATGCATTTGTGTTAAAAGAAAATGAAACTTGATTAATTTTGTCTCCTTCAAACAAAGGGGAGAACTGTTTAATTAAAAAAAAATAAAGAAAATATCCCGACCACAGGATTATTAACTGGGTTTGCATGATTACGTATTATGTGACTAAAGAAGAAGTACAAACTATAACAATAATAGTAATAATAATAATAAATAAAAATGTGGTGGATTCATAAACCACAATTATGCTTTTTGTACAAAATTTTGAGAGATGTTGGTGGGGACAAATTTTGGTTAGTGTTCAAATTTAATAACAATTGGTTCAGTTTCATAAAAGTCCGGACAGACGACGGACAGACAGACAAACAAATGAAACATGAAACATCGAGAAAATATGAAAGTAGCCAAGTGTCCGATGGACTCGACTACAATAGTTCCTTAGCGTATGCTCGGGAAGTAAAAGAGAAAACATATCTTAAGAAAGAAAAGGTAAAGATTAAGCTCCACCCATCCGCTCCGATCTCAATTGGGATGAATTTGTCATTCGTTATAAGAATGGAGGCAGAGCTTACTGCAAATTCCAGATTTCTCTTTGAATATCATTTTAAACTTATTTTAGTATTTTGTTATAAAAAAAAGAACGTATCTTAAGAAGAAGGAAGGCAAAATATAAGCCCCGCCCATCCGCCCTATCTCATTTGTGATGAACTTTTTATTCGTTGTCACACCGAGGGGCGGAGCATTATTGCAAAATCGATACTTTCCTACAAAATTTACCATTTTAAATGTTTCTTGTTATGAAAAGAAAACTACGAATAGTAAGGAAAACAAATGCAAAATATGGGCCCCACCCACCCACCCTGTCCAAATTTTGATGATTTTTTTTATTCATCGTAAGCCAGACAGTGGAGCTTAACTTCAATTCTCATTTTTCTTCAAGAAATTACCAAGTGAAACATGCTCTTAAGTAATCGTGACGTTCAAATAAAACTATATTAAATAAAAAAGGGAGCAAACTATTAAGCCCCACCTTGATATCAATGTGACGAATATTTCATTTGTTATCTCACGAAGGGGCGGAGCATAATTGCAAAATCGATGTTTCCCTATACAAATTTACCATTTTAAACATGTTTTAAGTTTCTTCTTGTGAAAAAAACGACAATGTAAATTAATAAAAAAAGGTAAAATATAAGCCCCGCCCACCCGCCCGATCTCAATCGTGATGATTTTTTTCACTCATCGTAAGCCGTGGGGCGGAGCTTAATTGCAAAATTGTTACTTTGTACGACAAATTGCTATGTGAAACATGTTCCTGAGTAATCGTGTTGTTCAAAGCAAACTATGTGTATGTATTAAGTACAAAAGAAAGCCAAAAAAGATCTGGCTTTAATTTTTGCTTAATAAGTATACGTAATATTCTTTGAACAACACGATACTCAAAAATATAGCTTATGTGGTCATTTCTTCTGAAGAAATAAGGGTTTTGCAATTAAGCTCCGCCTGTTTGGCTCACGACGAATAAACAAAATCATCACAATTGAGACAGGGTGGGTGGGCGGGGCTTATATTTTGCATTTTTTTCTACAAAAATTTACCACTGCACTTCATAATTTACCGCTGCATATGAACTACATAAATTTTTGAGTAGAGCGTTCCATATTTAATTTAGAAAAAAAATTTCCAACGTCATATAGCTAGTACTTGATAAGATAAGACTGATTTTGGCAGATGACATTTCCTCTAAGAAAGCAAAGGGTGGGTGGGCGGGGCTAGTACTTGATAAGATAAGACTGACTTTGGCAGATGACATATCCTCTAAGAAAGCAAAGGGTGGGTGGGCGGGGCTAGTACTTGATAAGATAAGATAAGACTGATTTTGGCAAATGACATATCCTCTAAGAAAGCAAAGGGTGGGTGGGCGGGGCTAGTACTTGATAAGATAAGACTGATTTTGGTAGTTGACATATCCTCTAAACTAATTTTGGGCCTGTAAATCTTATAAAAACTTGAAATTTAAAGGTGCTAAATTGCAAATTTTCATACTAACGAGTTAAATTCCAAAGTCTACCTGAAATGTGTAAAATATTAGGTATACTTTATTAGTTTATTTTTGACCTGAAGACAGCTGCCGTTTGAATATTATTCAAACAGCTGTAAAAACATACAGTTTGTGTAACAAGTTTTAAGTTTCTTGTTGTGGAAAGAAGACTGCGTATATTAAGAAAAAAAGGCAAAATTAGAACCCCGCCCACCCACCCTGTCTCGGTTGTGATGATTTTTTTATTCATCGTAAGCGAGACGGTGGAGCTTAACTTCAATTCTCATTTTTCTTCAAGAAATTACCAAGTGAAACATGCTCTTAAGTAATCGTGATATTCAAATAAAACTATATTAAATAAAAAAGGGAGTCAACTATTAAGCCCCACCTTGATCTCGATGTGATGAATTTTTCATTTGTTATCTCAACAAGGGGCGGAGCATAATTGCAAAATCGATATTTCCCCATACAAATTTACCATTTTAAACATGTTTTAAATTTCTTCTTGTGAAAAAATGACAATGTAAATTAATAAAAAAAATGGTAAAAGATAAGCCCCGCTCACCCGCCCGATCTCAATCGTGATGATTTCTTTACTCATCGTAAGCCGTGGGGCGGAGCTTAATTGCAAAATACTTATTTTCTACGACATATTGCTATGTGAAACATGTTTCTGAGTAATCGTGTTGATCAAAGCAAACTATTTGTATGTATTAAGTACAAAAGCTTAATATACTCAGTATTCTTTGAACAAGACGATACTCAAAAATATAGCTTATGTGGTCATTTCTTCTGGAGAAATAAGGGTTTTGCAATTAAGCTCCGCTCTCTTGGCTCACGACGAATGAAAAAAATCATCACAATTGCGACAGGGCGGGTGGGCGGGGCTTATATTTTGCCTTGTTTTCGACAAAAATTTACCACTGGATTAAATAATTTACCATCGCATATGAACTTCATAAATTTTTGAGTAGAGCGTTCCATATTTAATTTAGAAAAAAAATTCCAACATCATATAGCTAGTACTTGATAAGATAACACTGATTTTGGCAGATGACATATCTTCTAGGAAAGGAAAGGGTGGGTGGGCGGGGCTAGT